TAAGAAATTGACCAATCACAGACAACTTGCAGAAGAATAATCGACTGTGATTGGTCAATTTCTTACGACTTATAGCTTACGACTGTACTGCAAAACAGGCATTAGGCCTGTACAATCGTACGGTGGTCAATCGTACCGTGGTCAATCGTACCGTGGTTAATCGTACCGTGGTCTATCGTACAGTGGTCAATCGTACGGTGGTCAATCGTACGGTGGTCAATCGTACCGTGGTCAATCGTACGGTGTTAAATTCTTTGCGTCAAATAGAATGTGGTTAATCGTACGGTGGTCAATCGTACCGTGTCAAATCGTACGGTGTGCTATTCTTGCGGTGTCCAATCGTACTGTGGTCAATCGTACCGTGTCTAATCGTACGTGTCCAATATTACGTGTGCAATCGTACTGTGTCCAATTGTACCGTGGTTAAATGGACGTCACCCTATGCTCGATGCTCGCCTCGTACTTGTTCGCGCAAGCTTGTTAAGCCGCATTCGCAGCTTGCGCGAGCAAGACCCCCGGTCAGGTATGTTCTTTTTGACCCGACCAATCAGCAGAAAGGATGCAATTATTCTTTTTTCTGGTTGTCGCTGTGTTTTTTCCAACCCGTACGCGTGTTGTACACGCCAACGCGATCTACGTTCTACCATTTTTGGAATTTAGTGGAAAATTACTAGATTCCCGAAATCGTGGAATACTTGCACAGTGCGTTTAGGCAGTGTGCTTTTAGCGCTATAAGCGCATCTTAGCCGTTTATGGAGCTGTTTTGTAGCGCTAACAGAGTGGTGTTGACGTCACTGTTGACGTCATTACTCGCGCTAATTCTGCTCAAGATTTCGAGGTGAGGCACGATGTGGTAATAGCGCTTATAGCGTCAAAATGTCCTCCTTAAACGCTGTATAAATGTTCCTTTGTTTTTATCTACCTTGTCTGCCGATTCACAAAGTACATCTTTAGTATTTCTTTATTTATTTTAAATATATATTGAAAATGGACCAAAAAGTACAAGTAACTTTAGAAGTTGGTGATACTGGTTTACTTTATACAACTTATCTTTTACCAAAAGATGCGCATAGAGTAAAAACTGGTAAGTAAAAGGAGGTTATGTTTTGAATAACATTTAATTTGAATTTTTAATTAATTTGAATGTGTATTAATTTAGACGTTTAAGAGAAGTTTATATTTATAGTTGCACGTACATCCGACATGCCGGGTCGAAATGAATACTTAGTTGTTAGGTTACTGTGTTATGTATTTTTATTATTTTCAGATATTGTTTTTGCTTCTGAGGTTCTGTCTGCCTTAAAGAAAAACCAAGCAAAGTTAAGTTCATCAAGTTCTATGGCTTCAACTGCATCAACGTTAGATGCTGAAATTCCTGAATCAGAACACGATTCAGTGTTCAAATGGTCGCATCAAGTTGTTCTACTTCTCATTGAAGAGTATCGAAAGCAAGAAGACGATGTCATATCAGGTAAGAAAATAATATGTTGTTTACTATAATGACCTGTTTTTGGTTTTCTCATGTTTTTATAGGCAAAATGTCGCAAAAGCAAATGTGGAAGTCGATCAGTGAAGTCCTTTGTAGCTATGGACATGATGTTACTGGCCCACAGTGCTAAAGTAAATTCAATAGGATGAAGAGAACATACAAATCCATCAAAGATCATAATTCTAAGTCAGGAAATAATCCTCGGTCTTGGCCTTACATTGAGGTGATGGAATCTTTGTTAGAAGAAAAACCTTTTATGAATCCTATTGCTCTGGCTTCCTCTTCAAATCAAGCTTGTATACAGAATGAGAGTAGTGACTCTTTACTCGACAGTGACACTTCTACTGGCTCTTCACACTCACGCAAAAGGAAGACTTCTCAACTTGCGGACGTCATTATGAAAACCCGAAAGATTGCCGAAGAAAATAAACTAAAACACCATCAGCAGATAATGAATCAGCGAGGTGAAATCTTAAATGCATTAAATAAGCTTATTGATAAATTGCAAGTAAGTAATTGTTTTGTTAAAGTTATTAATCCTCAATTTCTTTATTTTAACTTTATTNATTTTGATATTGTTTTTGTTTGTTAGTAGATCAAATGGAAGCATAGTATGGAGATGATACATCTGTGATGATACTTTTATTTCTGTGATAATATATCAAATCTTAGTGTTTTAAAAATAAGAGAAGATAATAATTTTATTTTTATAATGAAAAGTAAACTATCTTACGTAGAATATTTTTATTTCTGTGATGTATCAAATCTCAGTGTTTTTAAAAGAAAGATAAAATATTACATATTTTTATTTTTGTAATGAAAAGTAAGATATCAAACGTAGAATATTGTTATACATGTAATATTGTACAAAATTTCAGTATTTTAAAAGTAAAATAAGATAATAGTTTTATTTTTGCAAAGAGAAATAAAATATTTAACATGTAATAAAATATTTTTATTTCTGTAATAACGTACAAACTTAATATTATCAAAGTAAAATAATATTTTTATTTCTGTGATAACGTACAAAATCTCAATATTTTATATGTTACATCTGTATCTATGTTATCTAAATAAAAACTGTATCTATGTTATCTAAATATAAACATTATTACAAAGCTACACGCACGAAACAATCTCAATTTACAAATATCATTTAGGAAAACTCTCCGCATTCGATAACTATTTTGTAGTAACCATTTATGCACTAAACAAATCGCAAAGGAAGCCTTTCAGAAATATGATTCCTTTTGGCAACACCTACCTCTTCATATAGTGTAGGATCTTGATAAAGATAATTGTTTCTGCCTCATTAATAGCATCAAAATCTATCTCATCTCCTCTTAATAGGCAAATATTATGCATCGTACAACATGCAATTATAAACATTGGAATTAAATCACATCTATCCATTGCAAGAACAGTCCGTATACTACAAAATTTTGTCTTCAATATTCCAAAAGCCCTTTTAATTGTTATTCTAGCAGAAGAATGACAGAAATTGAAGTTTTTTTGTCTAGGAGTGAGATGTCCATTGTCACGATAAGGAACAATGAGATTTTCGTGTAATTGATATGCGCCATCTCCGAGGATATGACAATCATCGGGAAATTTCTCAGGATTCCCTAACCACTCCTGTAATTCTGATAATCGAAATACTCGCTGGTCATGCACAGACCCTGGATATCCCGCGAAGCAATGAATAAAATGTGCTTTATGGTTACACACTGCCTGATAAAATCATGAAAGAACTTATATTAATCTAAATTATATTAATATGGATATAGAATTTTAGCTTAAGTACGCAATGAGATGTCATATTTTCATGTTCGGACAAATATGACGTACTTGTAGTTGAATGGAATAATGTCCTTTACGATTTACATATGATGCTGGTTGAATACGAGGAGCTTGAATGTTTATATGAGTACCGTCTATAGCACCAATAACTTTTGGAAAACCACTGGTAACTTCGAATCCAGTACAAACTTCATTGACATTGTTGCCTGATGGCCATTTGATGACAGTTGGTGCCAAATCATAAACAGCTCTTACCACTCTTCGTGTGGCATTGAGAGCAGTAGTTCGACATCAAACTTCTCACTTATAGATCTAAAACAAAAATAATTGGTAATTGAAAGAAAAATAATAAGCAAGAACTACTACAATTGTGATAACCAAAAATATCAATTTCACAAACATTACTCACCTATAGACATCAGGAGTTGCCATGCGCCATATTGCAATAAGAAATTGCTTTTCAGGAGAAATCATTGGCAGTCCTGTATGTATTCTCTTCAATCTCGGAACGATAATAGCAAGTATAAACTCAAATGTATCTCTAGATATTCTGTGCCATAAAATAGAATCACAAGACAAATAAATACACAAATACACATGCAAAAATAGTTAAGGTTAGGTGCAAATAATAACTCATCCTACCGGAATATAATAAAAAAATACAATGTACAATTTTCAATTTACCTAAAATGTAACTTAAATTGTTTATCACTATAGGTAGGCACAATGTTCTCCACGTAGTTTTCCAATCTTGGTGTTACGTCCTGAGCCTATGGTTACGGTCGGGCATTTGTGGTAGTACGCAACAGACGCACTGACACATTCAAGCGAACGTGATATCTATCCCGGCACACTGACACAAGGAAGGAAGTCAGGAATGCGCGGGTCGAGC